TTTCTCTCTATGCTTGTGGTTTTAACTGGTGATAATTTGGCTTCTTTTTTGCATGTGGAATCACACAAGACTGCTGCCAATACAATTCAATTAGCTGTTGTGCAAACATGCATCATCTGTCCTGACACTCCAAAACACTGACAAAGAGTTATGGATGGATCATAAATGCCCACCGATGGGAAGAAGAAGAAGAGGAGGGATGGATGGCAGTCACCTTATTGGCCTTTAGTCAACGTGATTATCTCCTTTTATTTAAACAATCAAATGCAAATGGTGGTCCGGCAGTGGCTCAGTCAGTAGGGGCTTGGACTGGGAGCTGTAGGGTCGCCGGTTCAAGTCCCCGACCGGACCTAAAATATGGAGTGTGGACTGCTACTTGGAGAGGTCCCAGTTCACCTCCTGCCCTGCCGTGGTGCCCTTGAGCAAGGCACCGGACACCTCCCTTCCCCCCTCCCTCCCATTGCTCCCTGGGCGCTTTACAATAGCTGCCCACTGCTCCTAGTACTAGACTCCTGGTAATAGGATGGGTTAAATGCAGAGAACACATGTCACTGTGTGTGCTGTGTGCTCTGCATGTGTGACCAATAAAGAGGGCTTCATCCCTCCCAATTCTATCTATCAGATCAATTTCTAATGATGATATAATCACATAAATAACTCTTACATTACTCAACCAATGGCAAACAAAATCGTCTAGTTGTTATAATTGTCTACCATCAATCTATATTTCTAGCCATCTACATACTGTATGTGTCACATATGTTCCACTTTATTCGTACAGTATATATTTTACTGAATGAAATAAAAAGGTATATCTATAAAGTCCTACCTTCCTGGAGGACAAATGAAACCACGTTGAGTCAAACACGATGCACAGTCTTTGTTCTGACTGTCGGCCATGTGTGTCAGACGTCAGGTGATTTTTATTTCAATCATTTCCACATCCGCTTCGCATGTGGAAACATTCCTACTTGAAATTACTCTTCACAGCTGTCAATCAAAGCTCATACAGGTTGAACACACCCACGTGCTTCAGCCCATGTGATTGGATTCGCAACTGAAAGTGGTACTTAAGTAAAAATACTTATACCACACTGTGAAAATACTCCAATACAACTAGAAGTCCTGCATTAAAACCCTTTAGCAACAGTGTGTTTCAGCAAAAATGTGAAAAAAGTGTTCCCTGTCCTGTTTTCTATACGCTATACGATGTTTTTGGATTAATATTACTGCTGCATAGTTGCATTTGACTGATGGAGATGCTTCAGATTGAGCTACTTTTAACTACTTTATATACATTACTCTCTAATGCTGGTTTATTTCTATTTCTATTTTGAGATGTTTATATTTTAGAATTGTTTATTTCTACTCTTTCAATTTGTTATCATGTGCAATGCCTTGTTTTGTTTTATGCTGCTGCAACAACAAAAATTCCCAAATTGGGATTAGTAATAGTCCGTGTATTTTATTTTATCTTACTTTGGGGTGTTTTTTGTATCATATTCTATCAAATCTAATTGTGTTGGTCAGTTACTGTACTCTGAGAATCCTGTATCTCTTAAAGGTCCCATGTCATGCTTTTCCGGTTATTAGCCGTCCCCTTGTGTGTTATGTAGCTTTTTCTGCATGTAAACGGTCTGCAGAGTCACAAACCCTCAAAGTACACCCTGTAGCGAGTAAAACTCTAACACAGAAAAGACCTGTCCATGCTGCCCCAGAACGCCTCGTTGGAGATTTCTCTTTTTCCATTGTTTACTTCTTGGGTATAGTGACGTATTTCGGGTATAGTGACGTAACGTAACGTCCACGGAGCCGTTACGTTTGGACCAATCCGCGGACTTCCTCACACACACACACTCGGCGGGACGTTGTGAGGCTCGCTGCTGCGAGGAGCGGGACACTGTGAGCCGGCTCACTGGTGTGGGGTCGGCGAGACAGCGAGACACCGCGGAACTCAGCCTGGGCACACACACAAACTCCCAGCCAGGCTGCGGGCTGGGTTTCGCTGTGTCTCGCTGTCTCGCAGACGGCCACTGGGCTCACAGGGAGGGCAGGGGGGGCAATGTGAGTTTGGAAAATTGCACAATATAAATGTATTTTAGTAGACCTCAACAATGGAATTATGATCAGTAGAAATGGCCATGACATGGGACCTTTAAGACTAAACTTTTTATAAAAAAACAACCCTGTTTTCATCTTAGTGATACTTTTTTTTCCAGGTCATTGAAGAGTCTTTTTAAAAGAGTCGATTTAGATTTAAAAGTAGAAGAATTTTCAGAAACATTTGCATGTAAAATCACCACATTTGGAGTCACATGGTTAAGCATAAAAGGGCCCGTTTAAGCTAATGAGTACATACATTGTGCAGTACTTGAGTAAATGTATGTTGTATACCACCACTGCTCACACACAAGTCAACACTCTTTACCTGTTGACATCTTTAAAGTGTCTGTTTCCAATTCTCCTCTCAATGTTCAGAAGCAGGAATAACAAAGTTCACCTTTTTAAACAAACCTACATTTTATTATTTCAGCAGTGCATATACAGCATTTAGTGGTACAAATCAACAGAACATAACGTATATTTTTTAAAGTAAGAGTGAAGCACTGTAGGGAGTATTTCTCTTGACATGATCATGTTTGATTTAGGCATTTATTTTTGTACACGTTAACTCTGCAGCCCTTAAAATGAGTTATGACCAGCACAATGTAATAAAAAACAGATACATGTACACGTGTATGTGCTCAGAGACATTGCACCAAAGTATAGCATAGCAAGGTCTTTGTAAAACCAAGTATACATTTTAGAAAATTACACATTTAGATGGTTAAGTGCACTTTGCAATGTGTTCTCACTTTGAAAAAGGTAAGGCATTATTAGGCTCTTTTCAAAATCAAAGTATTTGAGTTGTTTGACCCCATGAGGCCGGAGGGTTGATCCGAGGTCAGAGGAGCTTCTAGCCAATCAGGAAGTCACATCACAACAGTTTGCAATCCGATAGGCTGCAACTTCACCGGGAAGGAACAACATGACGTCAAAATACATTACATGTGAGAAGAAAAGTCAACTAGTGGAAGCACACACGAACGCGCACATGACCAATGAGGGCACGAGATAAGTTTGTGCACGAGATGGAAGGCTGACAGGCAGGTAGGCCATCCAGTTATTTTACCCGGGCCGGCTCAAATTATTGGTCGTGCTTTTTTTACAGCGCCACGGCTTCCACAGATGACATTTTTTTATGTATTTATTGTCAAAGCATTTAATATATTCATTGCTATCGGGATGTTAAGAGCATTCCATGGAATATAACAAAAAGTGTTTCTGAAATAAATTACATACCCCACCTTTAAGTTAGACAGCTAGCAAACTCATGATCCGAATACTTGACTAAGACTTGCTCACTGAGGTTTAACATGATTTATGATTGGCTATATGATGATAAGGAGACCAAACACTTATAATTCTTCTAGTAAACGTCACACCGCTATTAAAATAGTCAGAATACTTTTTCTTTTAAAACATTGGTCTTTACTTCTTCCATTTTGCACCGCTTACATTCAAAAGGAAATGGTAAGAAACAAAAGAAAAGTTGGGAGCACTGCCACGTCTTCATAGGCCTCCAATAGTTCCTACTTCTGTCAAAGCACTTCATTTTTCAGCATTAGTGAACATTAAAGGCCTGCTGCGATCAATATTGTGGAATGAAACACCCTCAAACCTGCATAAACACAACATTCTGCATAGGAATTCCAATCCATAATATTTTGTTTGCTCCTTTGGTTAAAAGAGGAGATGACAAATAAGCAAAAGAGTGAAAATATACTGCAGGATCTTTTGGTGTTATCTTTGGCTGTTGTTTCAGAAAGGCAATAAGTCCTCCGCTGGCAAAGTGCTGACGCCTCGACAAGATGAATGAGGGTCATCAGGACACGACATAAAGACCTGGCTGCCACTCAGACTACTGCCAGCTACAGAAAACAGAGCAGATATTGTACAAGTGTGTGTGTGTGTGTGTGTTTTAAAATATGACACTTAATCATGCACACATTAGCTGGAAAGTATAAAACCCTATAACATTTCGTATTTGTTCCATTCACTTCATTCTAAGTGAAACCACCTCATTTAGTACAGAAAGAAAAATACTGCTGGACATTACAGTGTAAGCAGTTGCTAATACTGTAAATTAAATGTATAATGACTGTTTTAGTATTGTATGTTGCATGATAGGTCCTTTGATTTGTGTTGTACTAGCAATCTCTGTACCATGTTGTGCAGTAAAAGATATGTCATGTATTTTTATTTCCCTTTTTATTTTAACTTTAAACGACTTCGTAGCCCAGAAATTCGTATTAACTGTGACTGACAGCTGCTGCATTTCACATGCAATATTTGTGTTTAACTGCTTCCTGTGTACTCCTCCCACTACCTTATATCTGACAATATAAGAAAGACATATAACTTCATCTGTTGCACTTCAGATAGGACTGATAATCGGCGCCTTTAAAGCGCATCTTTAAGATCCATGCAGATGTATTTTTAGATTAACTGAACTGGTCTCCATTATAAGACACTCAGACATGCATGCATTTGTATTTCTTTTAGGCTTTAATGTAATAGATGAATCCGCCAGCTGTTTGACCAATTAATAGATTCATTCAGTCTATATACATTGTGACAAAATTGTGAACAATTCCCATCACCTGTATGTCTCGTTTTGTTGGACCAATAGTCCAAAACAGTTGTTTTTTTAAATACTTGAAGATAGCAAGTCAAAAGCAGCAAATACTCACATCTGAGAAGCTTAAGATAATTTTGTTTGAACAATGTCTCAAGAGATTACTCAATAGGACTCAATTGATTTTATAATTGATGAATGGTGGCGTGTGGCGGAGTGGGTTGTGCATTGGTGTTCGGATCAGGTTCTAACCCCACTGCAGTCAGCATGTCGTTGTGTCCCTGAAGACACTTCACCCCAAATTGCTCCTGTGGGGATTGTCCACAGTATTGAGTATGTAAGTCGCTTTGGATAAAAGCGTCTAACAAGTAACATGTAATGTAATGATAAATCAACTAATCGTTTTTGCACTAATTTGTATTCAAATCAGTGCAATCATAATACAAAAGGTACAACTAGGATATATAGGCAGTCAACACTTTGAGACATCATGAAAATACTTTACATACTGTATTATAGCTGATTTTGGTTAGTAGAAGCCATTGTGTGCTTTGCAATACACTTTTGAAATCCCCCAATTCCCCTTCGAGTTGCTAAAGCGTCTTCTGAGACACATTACATCTATTAAGTCTGGTTTCTCACCTCATTTTCCCTTTTCCCCAGACGCCCTCTCCCTCTTTTCCCTCTTCAATTTGTCTTTCTTTTGCGGTATAGTCATGCTGAAAAACAGAAACCCCCGACAAACAGCGAGGCACTTGAGCATGAGGTAGAGAAAGTATGATTTCTGGCTTCAGCCACCTCAAAAAAGTCACATCCAAAATTGTTTCCTTCCCTCATATGGACACAACCTCTTAAATGGACATCATGTGCACGGATTCAATTTCATAAAAAGAAAGTGGGCCAGACAACTCTTGATTTATTTAAACTAGGAGAGCTTACACAGACAGATTTCTCTACAAACTATAGGAGCGGAGGGAATTCAACTACAGCCCTGTGAGTTTTGCCAAATTTTGAGGTGCACTAAAAAATGTTCCCCCCTTCAAATATAAAACATGACTCAAGTTACTGAAACGATGCTTGGGATGTGTACCAGCCTTAAAGATGAATCCTTTCAGAGAGACATAAAAGCGTGTGTGTTACGGTTGGTTTAGTGTGTGTGTGTGCACATATACAGTACATATGCATTAATGCTGATACAACCCATCTTTTGGCAGTGAGCGCTGAAAGCTGTAAATCGTACGAGGCAGTCGTCCATGCACCCATCTGTTTATAATCAGCTGTTCTCTCGTCTTCATAATCGCTTCATCTGTCAACTGCTGTGACCTATAACACTTTCCAAAACCTTTGTTAGTTGCATTTTGTCTTCATGCTTGCAGAAATAAAACAATAGCACGCAATAAACACTGTTTTTCTGATTTGCAAGACAAAAGAAGTCTAGATATTGAGATTAAATCTGCACTTCAAAGCTGCGATAATTGTTTTGCCGCTTCAATTCTTCCTAAAATATATTCTATAAAGTTGTTCCAGCAATTACAACATCCAGAAAACAAAGACCAACATACATTTTGTACGTCTGATTGATGTAAATCCAATTGTTCATTCTCCTTTTAGCTCTATTCTGGTCTTCACCATGCGATCAGAAAAGGATCTGAATTGGTCTCGAGCTTCTAAAGGTTCCACTCAATTTACTAGCTATTCACTAAGTTTTTGGAGCCTTTCCATTTGTGCTGGAAAAGAAACAAAAAGTGGGTTAATAAGAGCTTTCATGACAAGAAAGGAAAGTCCTGTTCCAGACGGAAATAATGCTGGTGAGAGCAGAACACCAAAACAATAAGCTTGCAGATCTACTGATTTACTGTAGGTAATACTTCTGTGTATAACATGTACAAATATAGGTTAGAAAAGAGGTGCACTGTGGAGTATTTTACCACTACAGATGGAGCATTTTATTTTGGACAGTTTGAAACGCGAGGGTCGTGATTGGTCCGTCATTGGTCCATGATCGGCCCGAGATCGTAGTAACCCTAATGTTTTTACAAGTGGCGTCCGATTTGAGTTTGTTATTCTGATCGTCAGTTATTGGCGGTAATGCGCAAAAAATATAGCATTTTGCCAACAAAGCCAAGGAAGAAGAAGCCCGCTCCATAACAAACCTGGATGTTGACAAAGCATGATTAAAAAATGTCATACTTAACCTGCTTTGCAAAGGTTTTACGAAGAAGTAGAAAGGGTACACACAATGCATTTTTTGAGTAACACTCGATGTAAATGGTGGCTATTAAGCTTTGACCTGCAAACCATCAAAAGATTGCTTCCTAGGAAATGCTATATAATGAATAATAAGGCAACACTGTGTGTTTAGTATAGCTTGACAGCCATATAATACTGTGAAGAGTAGCTGCCTGTAAATGGAAAGTGAGTTTGTGATTGACTCTGTCCTGTCAGTTTCTTTATGTGCCGTTTCAACTCCTCCGAACCTTGGAGACGAATGAGGACTCGGGGGTGATGACGTTGTTGTTTTAGCTTCTAATCCACACTTGAAGTCAAAACATCAAACATGACCCCTGCGATCCTCTGGGGGCAGATAGACGCTGTTAAAGCTGACCTTTGGCCTTCATTGAAGACAGATATACTCTGTAATAAGTCTGATGAAGAGTCCTGTCATGCGATCGTCTCCAGCTCATACGGTCGCTGACAGTTTGAAAAGTTTAGCATTTTCTTTAGCCCTCAGTCCTGCTAAAACAATCCCATCATGAACTTCTAAATAAAATGTAGTTCAACGTAGAGGTGTGTCATTGTCTTTTGCACGTAAAACACTCTGCAAATGTGACACTCCGGGTAATGTTGTGCATCTTGGAGCTCCTTCAAAGTTTAAGGCACTTTTTTGGGGGGGGGGTCACTTTGCCTCTACAGAAGTGATCGTAAAGGTTTTAGACGGCACACGTCACTCCAGCATCCTCCACATGGCCGCAGTTGGTTTTTCCCCAGCCGGAAAACTTACACTGGTGGATGGTGTCTTCAGTCCCTGCACACGCAACGTCATCCATCCAGATCAGACCGGTACCTGCACGGAAAGGAAGAAATAATGTAAACATTGTCTACTAAATGTAGGAAGGAGTAGAAGAAGCATTCATAATTAAATACAATAAGGTAAGTAGGCGAAATATGAAATAATATGGATTAGAATAAAGTACATGAGCACAAAGGTGGAATGCAACTAATGGAAAGACATATTTTTCTTCATCATTAGAGCTATATCTTAAAACACATCTGGACTTCGCTACAATGCGGTCCAAGTTAACTTTTGTTTCTCTGATGGCTCGTTCGTGCATCACTTTCCCTCTACGTTCATGTCCACAGTTAAAATGATGCAACTGCAGCCAGTGTGATTACGCTGTATCTGATGAATGAGTCTCACAGGGATCATAAAGAAAGGCAGAATATTCCTCACATTATTACCAAGGTAAAAAAGAGTCAAGCCGTATTTTAATCACACGTGAAGAAGATTATGTGTCGGACACATCTGCATCTCAAAGCAGCTTGCTTTCTTCTTTTCGTCAAATGTTAAGTTGTAGTTACTGGGATTTGTTGCATAATTTCACACAAATTGTTATTCAGGTATTACTTTGCTCTGGCCCAAAAATGTTATGAATGAACACTTGAAAAGGATAGAGGTTTTAAAGGCAAGATGCAGACAAAAAGACCTCGTATATTAGTGTGTGAATATGAGTCTTCTGATTGAGACAGCAAGTTCTTCTCACAGAAATGTTGATCATACAATTTTGCATCTGCTCATAAAATACACAGCAGCTGGTTAGCAGAGCTTTTGGCGGCAGTGTGTGTTTTGCTATAAAACTTGAGTTCCTGTTTGTAAAACCAGGAATCACTGGAGGTTTTGAGAAAGTCCCTTCAGTTTTGCAACAGTTTTTATAGGATGGTAGTCAGCTGTGAGGGAATAACAGCGAGATCGAGTAACATTTGGTTGCACTCACGCGCTGATGATGCAGTTTAAGGACACATGACATAAAGCAGGGTTGTCCAACTCAATTTCATCGCGGGCCACATCAGCATTATGGTTGCACTCAAAGGGCCGGTTGTAACTTTAAGACTATATAAATATATGTATAATGTATTATATTACTATCTGATAGGGTAATAACTTCATAATTAAGAAGGGAAGTCTAGGGCAAATAATTGCAAGTCTCTTCAGTGAGAATGTCTCTCTCTCTCCTCCCTCTCTCTCTCATGTCAAAAAAAACAAGTGACATTTTGAAAAAAAAGTAACATTCTGAGATAAAAGGCATATTTGAGATGCATTGTGGGACATGTAGTTTATGGACATCGTGCTTCTGTAGATCGGCATGTAATCGTATAATAAACATATTATATTCTTTCAGAGCTCTTGCGGGGCCGCATAGAATGAAGTCACAGGCCGGATTTGGCCCCCGGGCCTTGAGTTTGACACCTCTGACTTAAAGGGTGTATGCGCTGAAGGTGAGAGGAGAGGCTGAGTCATCATCAGTGAGGCCCTGAAGGCAACATCTGGAGGCGTGTTAATGTCATCTCTGCTGCCCTTAAATCATAACAGTGTATCACTCAAGAACAAGGAGGTGTCAGAGAGGAACAGACTGCTTGACTGATTGAAAATAGGAATAAACAACATAACAATCATCTTGTTGGTGAAGTCATGGATGAGGAGTAAATCAAAATTGAAAAAAACAGTATAATGAAAAGCAGAGGAGCTTCAGGCCAGCTGGTGAATGTTGCCAAAACGTAATATTTTTAAATAACTCTTAATCTTATTTCCTATTATAACTGGCAAAAAGATCAAGGCACTGTCAAAATCAAAACAACTGAAAAGTGAGTTATCGCCTCACGAGGACCATCTGAAAAATCTTGCTGTTGGTGATTTGTAGAACCGGACTTTTCAGCCCATTCTTTTTATTATTTACGAGTCAATCGCCTTAATTTATATCTGACTTTATTACCTAACGAGGAATAACAAAACTTATATCATGAGGTCGTAAAGTTGGTTACCGATGGCGAAAGGAATCCAAGATAAATGTTGGTGCTTCTCATGTTACAGTTAGAACAAGCTATGTGTCACAGGTGATGAATGCAAGATTTGAAAATGTATTTTATGTTGAATATCTTTAAACGATACAAGGGAAGTACATCATATATCTATTTAGGATAAATATATCATACGGAAGAGGATTAGGGACATGTGACATTTTTTGGGAGATCTGACCAAAAGTGAAATCTTATGCTGCGTTCATACCGGACGCGATGCGATGTTTGGGGGCGCGATTACATGTAAAGTCAATGCAGAGACGCGGACAGACGCGAATTCGCTCCGACGGCGAGCATGAAGCGGTTGATGGGAATGTCGCGATGCAATTGAGGCGAGTGGAGGGGGCCGCGACAACCGCTCGGGTTCAATTTTTTCAATTTGAGCGTCAAATTCCCGTGACGCGATCTCGCAGTAGCCAATCAGCAGTGAGGATCTCAGCCTGCTGTCACTGACGTAGAACCACAAAACCAAAACATCAGTCGTTAGCTATTAGCTGTTAGCACTCAGAGCTTACAGCTCCTCATATCTGTTCAGAAACTAGACAAAAGTTAAACAAGTACAAACCACAGACTGTCTGTGTCATGGCGAATACAGTCGCTGCTTTATTTATGTCTGTATAGGCCGTTGTTGTGAGTGTGGACGGTCGGAGCATATACAACGTTAGCTTAGCCAATCTCCATTTAGAAAACACGCATTTTAAAAGGTTTTTCGCCTGCCTTCTGTCTGCAGACTTGACAAAGCATTAATTCATGGTTTTTACTAACCGGTATCAGTATGTTGTTACTTCGGCATCATTTAGAAACGTGTATTACAATTAAATCACGGTCAAATATGTTCATTTTGTTGTAGTTGTAGCCCCCGAGCCAGCGCGTCTTGTTTGAATGATGCGAGTAAACACAGCTGAAAGCCAGGGTGAAATTCGAGCGTTTAGACTTTAGAGCGATGCGATAAGAGCGATTAGAGTGAATGCTGCGTCCGGTGTGAACGCAGCATTAGTTTCAAGTGGGAATTCTGAAGAAAAAAAGGCGGAATTCAAAAAATAATAATATCCGAACTCCGACTTTTTTCTCAGAATTCCAATTTTAATCTGAACATTCAGACTTTTTTCTTAGAATTGAGATGTTTTTTCTCAAAATTCTGAGTTAAATCGTGGAGTTCTGACTTTAATCTCGGAATTTCGATTTCCTTTTCTGAATTTTAACTTAAAAGTCAGGAATCAAAAATAAAATGTACTTTTGGTCGGATGTTCAAATGTCCACATGTGGCCCTAATCCTCTTCCGTATAAATCTCATCACACTCTGAGTTAAGCTATACCACGTATTGAAATTGCTTCCTGTTACAATCCGGCATAACACTTCCTTTAAGTTGTGACAATTCATTAAAGTTTGAACCTATGGAAAATGTATTACAGCAAACCAAAACACTGACGCTCTGGTGCCACATGGATAATCAAATCCCAACCCAGATTTGATTATCCATGTTTTTGTGTTTGAATGATTTATTGTATGAAATATGTTTTCAAAAATGAAATGACTAAGATTTTGGAAACTGGTTTGTTTTTCAGTCCTGGCCCCGTCCAGTGCCAACCTCGCCTGTATTTTTAACCACATCGGGGATGTATTAGAGCAACTAGAGTTTCAAATATATGACGTTTTAAAGACTTCAAGTCATCAGTGGACACATAAACTCTCCACTGAAACCGATACTAATAAAATGCAAGATGACTTAGATCAACTGTATACATACGGCCAAAAACCCATGACAAAAATCTACTTCAAAATCCGACACATGGCACAGTGTATCGTTAGACCCTCAATTTGGATAAGAAATAGCTAAATAAACTTTAGTTGTGATTAAAAGGGAGAAAGGTGATGTCAATTATTTCAGTTGTCTACAAACAATGCAAATTGTGATAAAAACACTGCGTTTGAAGTCTCTTATCTGCATAAAATCAGCATCTCAGTCAGACCATGTGCTTCCAACATTCCTGGTTTACTTCACGACGTAAAACAACAAAAGGGAAACTGGCTGCAGATTCAAACATCTTCAAAGCAGCATGAAACAGCAGGCGCACGTGTCTCGGTGCAGTGTGCACACAGGATGGAGAGGAGGTATGCAGCGGGGGATTACACCAGCCCCAGCTGTTCTCTCAGGGTTTGCTTTAATGGACACGGACCTTTAAAACTGTTTACTCTGGATCTCAACACAACCTTTTACTGCTCTGTTTGCAGGCCGGCGGTGTTAGACCCAACTTATGAGACTTATCACAATTAAGTGTTGGATCACCAAAAAACACTGTGTGGGATTTAAAGGGAACACCCAGGGGTGGTTTAGAAAAGACTCACTCACTTTTACAGTGATTTACAAGATTAACAAGTGGTTTGAAAAGAGTGTGATGACAAAAACAACTTTGGTATCTAGAGAAATCAGTCAGTTCTGGATTGTGTTAAAGAATCCAACATCTGTGACGAACTCTCCTTTGGGTTGACGTCTCCTCACTGATTGTAAGGTCGGACAAACTCCATTTCCAGTCATGCGAGATAGAAATCATTGTTTACCGATGCAGAGAAAGATGATATGCTTCATACATGTTTACATTCTTTGAATTATTTTCTCATCCTTTACTGTAATTGTATTATTTTGGCTGAAGTTCCTTTCCTTTTACCCCATTAAAACTCTTTTGGGGAGGTTTTTTTCTGATAAGATTTGGGGGTCTACAGAGAGAGAGGGTATCGTATTCTGTGCAGATTGAAAAGACCCTTGAGGCAAAGTTGTGGTTTGATAAAATGTCTCGGATCAAGGAGACATAGTCAAACAGGAGGAGAAGCATTACCTCAAGCAAGTACATACAACAAATCATGATTACATGGTTAAGAGTCACACTTTAGGACAACAACTTTCAAAAACTTAGATCAGATCATGACTAAGGGGCGGGACATTTCTAAGCGATCACAACAGAGCCGGCCAGCTAACCAATCAGAGCAGAATGGGCTCTGGTTTCAGACAGAGGGTGAAAAGAGGTGCTGCAGCACAGAAAGTATATATGAGAAAAATAAAGAGCTTTTTGAACATGTAAACATGTCCAAGTAGAGAAACAAAATACTGATATGAACCTTGAAATTAGCATAGCAGGGCTCCTTTAAAAACAGTAACAGGTTGGTGACTCATGTGAAAAGATATATTTAAATTCCAGATTGTTTTAAATTGAATCCAGCAGTGATGTTAGTCACTGCTGTTATCTGGTGGTCGTCCCCTGAAACAAAGTTCTGTTTCCATCCAATTTTCCAGACTTGTTGGGAACAACTCTGCCTGGAAGGAGACTCTGAATGAAGTAAGGCTGACTTGGTGACTGAAATAAAGTGAGTGGAGAGAAAGAGAGATGGATCTGACCTCTGAGACTCTTTCTAAACGACATCTGGCTCACATGACTTTCCCCATAAAAGCTTCAAATGAATCCCTGCAGCATGGTAGGGCATTGTACGGGAAAGACGACTCAAAGGCAAAAACTGCAGGGTTAGTAAAAAATCAAACAACTTCCATCAGTTAAATTTAACTATCAGAAGTGGGCGGCTAACATTTACCGATTTCCTGTCATGATAGAGATGTTCTTTATTCCACAAACTGCACACTGACCCAAAAACAGTGAGTTTAAAGGGAGAGTACCTTCATATATATTATGGAAATACCATCTTTTCCTCCAAACGATAGGTAAAATGGTTTTAAAGGTAAAAGTTTTTGCACTTTGTTACTGTCTAACTGTCTGTATTTAAAATGTACCTGCATGCATGGAGCAATGCATCTATGCAGACATCTAAAATACATTTGGCTTAATGTAGTTTAAGTATCTTTTCTATATACTGAAGGTTTGTTCATTTATTATCTCCTTATTAATGATATATTTATTCGAAAAACATGCCAAAAATATAGATTTCTTATGGCCGTTGACAGTAATTTCTGATTTATTAAGTGGTTATTTTGACCTAAGTGATATGTGTAAGTTAAATTGTTAACTGATTCAGCTGTAGTGTCTCATTTCTGTCCCCTATTATACTGTTTTTCATCAATATATTATAGGTCTCAGATATATACAAAACATGTCTCTGAAGTGTTTGGCTCCAAACACCAAACAGATCATTGCAGCATCCCATAATCCCCTCTGTTTCAGCCCTGTTTCCAAAGTGCTGATTCTGTGTCTGTTACTTTAGATGAAAATAAGGAGCCCCTCCCCACGCCCCTCTGAGAGATATTTGGTTACAAAGAACTCAATGGTGCTCTAGGAGGAGATTCAGGTGATAAGGTGGGGGGGGGGGGTTACCTTGGTTGCTGATTGGCTAATGGTTACACAAGCCAAAAAATCGTTATGACATCATAAAGTGGCCAAAATCTGATCAGCTCATTTTCAGACAGGTTTTTATATAAATGGATCAGGACAAAAAGAGAGAGAATCTTTTTTCCTGAAACTTTCAGAATCTCTTCACACAGAGGGAGGGGACACATGTTGATGTAGAAAAGACATGAAGAAGAGGGGACACATGTTGATGTAGAAGATACATGAACAAGTGGATTTTGCATAATAGGTGATCTTTAAGTATTTTGAGCACATTATCACATGTTCAAATGTGTTCAAGTGTATGTGTGCGTGTGTGCGTGTGTGTGTGCGTGTGTGTGCGTGCGTGCGATCCCTCTCATACCCTGTCCGAAGCGTCCTGTCTTATGGACCTCTGCAGCTCCTCGGTATCTGAGCATCCGGCACACCACGTCTCCGTCCTTCTGGTCCCAGACGTCGTCACAGATCGTCCCCCAGCGACCCTCGTGGAAAACCTCCACGCGACCTTCATGAAGACCCGACCCGTTCACCAGCCGCACCAGCGTCTCCTCCACTGCAACACACACCATCTCACGTTAACATAATGATCTGTGTGTGTGTGTGTTAATGGGGAGGAATTTATACACATTTTTTTCTACTATTTATTGCATTGGCCGACTGTTTTCTAGGCATTTATTGGAGTCTACGTGCAATGAAATGTTTGAAGATAACAGCATCACGTCCCTTAGTTTGCAGAAAAACCGAGTCTTTGTTATTTATTCCAACACGACTGCAGTGAAAGAACACATGACTCTCTTTTATCCTTCGCTTGTTGGCATGACTTAACACTCACACTGAGCACATTATTTTCATGGTGAGTGTTTATGAGTTTAATGAAGGCCCGTAAATCAAACCAATTTGAAAACAAAAGAAGATGAATAGGTTCTTTTCAACATGATTCAAGACATTTATTTTTCCAAAAACCACAGAAAAAGGCTTCGAGTCAAAAAGAAAAAGAAAAAACATTATTTTTGAGAGAGGGAACCTTTTTAGTGAACACATGCTTTTACATTCTTTTTGCAAGAATGCAGGGTTGAAGTCCTGTCCAAAAGTCACTTTTCAGTGTTTGCTGAACATAATGACCGATAGTCTGGCAATAATCTCGTGTATTTGACAGCGTAGCGGTTGAAGGATTTTGAAATTCATAACTTCCTTTTTTAAAACTTCATGCATCTGTTAGCATTTATCCAGTGACCTTATTGGACAAACCCCAGTTAAGTCACTGCCTCACTGGTCCCTGAAATGAGACACAACTTGTTTTTTTCCCCCACTTTTCCTGCATTTCAACATTCAATACATCACTTTTTTTTTTTATAAACCTGGGTTCGGTGTTTACAGTCTTTAAAATAAGAATATCTGTATTGTCATCATGTTTAGGCACATAATAAAAGCACAGCAATGAGAAGGCACTGTTAGATTACATTAAATGAAATGTACTTAAAGGTGGGGTAGGTAAGTATATTCCATGGAATGCTCTTAACATCCCGATAGCAATGAATATCTTAAGTGCTTTGACAAAAAATCCATAAAAAAATGTCATCTGTGGAAGCCGTAGTACTGTAAAAAGCACGACCAATCATCTGAGCCGGCCCGGCTAAAATAACTGGATGGCCTACCTGCCTGTCAGCCTTCCATCTGTGCACAAACTTATCTCGTGCCCTCATTGGTCATGTGCGCGTTCGTGTGTGTTGGAGGTGGGGCTCTCTAAGGAAGTGGCAGATTTTTTCCGGTTGTGTATTTTCAAATTCTAGCGCACTCGAGCTGGTTTCTCCAAAATTACCTACCCCACCTTTAAACATTTGAATACCATTGAATACAAAAAAGTAACCGTAAAGAGGAAGGCGGTGAGATGACCTTTATCTACTCAGATTTCTCTCTGAAGCATGGAGAACTCTCATTTACAAGGAAAGGTGGAATTAATATTGCTAATATTGTTTGTCATACACGGTTTGATAGTGCCTGATTTTAACTCAGTAAATAAATTGGGGTATAAAATGTAAGACCTATTAAAATACAACAAGTGTTTAGTTTGAGCATGTTTGCTGGATTCAGGGTTTTAGTGCCACACCCAAGAACTTGTACTAAACAACTAAACTAAACAAGAACGTACTGAACCTACATTACAGTCACAATAAAGAGTGCAAATGTGTGTGTGTGTGTGTGTGTGTGTGTGTGTGTGTGTGTTTGTGTTTATGTTAGCAGAGGCTTGATGGATCCACATTATCTCGTATCCCTGAAAATATGCAGCAGCTGCTCGTATAATTTACTTGATTTAATACCTTTCAGAGTGCATAAAGAAAAACAGAAAGAGAGACACACACACACACACACACACACACACACACACACACACACACACACACACACACACAACACACACACACACACACACACACACACACACACACACACACACACACACACACACACACACACACACACACACACACACACACACACACACACACACACACACACACACACACACACACACACACACACACACACACACACACACACACACACACACACACACACACACACACACACACACACACACACACACACACACACACACACACACACACGTCGCTGACTGTTGACGCAGTGCAGGGGAGTGAAGCCAGACACATTATGTAGACAGGATATTGGTCTCATCAGACCATCATACATTTGAAGTGTGTCCTATGTTACTCTCATTAGAAAGACAAGCACTCTGCACTCACTGGCCCATCATAATGTAATAACTACAATAATATTATACTATCATATCTGCTGCACACAATTGTATCGTGTTCCTGCAGAAGAGCAGGAAATCCAAACCAGACATCAGAACCTCCTGGTGCTCCTTTTCCTAGACAATGTAAGGAGAGCAACAAGTGCTGAAAGTAGCACGTAGGTCTTCAGAAAGGAATGAGTAATTGAATACTCAATTACCTGAAACAGATGTTCAATTATTTGTTATACAAAACACTCCTTCCTTTGAAATTCATATGAAGTTGGGTAAAACCTGGAAGACTCTGCTGGCATGAGGATGAAGAGGTGTCGGTCATTAATACTTATTTAAACTATTACTGAAATGTGAAACTTTGCTTTTACATATCCTTCTTGTGCCATCAGAGAGAAATCTGCTCCAACAGCAGCAGAACAAATACATTTTCTGTACTTGATGCATAGTTCGCAATTTCGTTTAATGTCATTTTTGCATCTTATTTATGATTGGTGATGACATAATATGTACTGTACACCTTAATGTTGCATTTAGAGAAAATTCAGCTATTTTTTTTATATTTACATATGCAGTATTGACTGGTAGAAGGTGAATTTCATTTTGCATTATTAATCTGAGTCTTTCACTAAAGTTGTAAACACAATATTTCCCTTTGAGATGTGATGTAGTGAAGTAGAAAGTGTTAGAAAACAGATTTACTTGAAGCACAATTTTGAGATAACGCTAATTTACTGTACCTTAATTTAGCATTTGGAGAAAGTTCAGCTATTGTTTTAGTACATATTAGACTTAGAGTCTTTCACTAAAGTTGTTGAATAAATGTAGTGGAGTAAAAAATACATTATTTCCCTCTGAGAAAGTGGTAGATAATAGATTTACTTGAAGCACAATTTTGAGATAACGGTAATTGACTGTACTTAAGTAAATGTACCATTTACATTTCCACTGATGTTTCTGTAAGTGAAAAGTGATCTAACAATGTTATCAAACAAACCCTATCATCCATCTTATCACATGTATGGCCATATGTTTCACATCTTTGTAGTCTTAGTTAGCACATGTTTGAAACCCCTGGAGACAAGAATCACCACTTTTTTCACATCTCTCTCACTCCATTCATCTTTCACTCTCTGTGAAGTGCCTAAGGCTCCCCACTGTACAAATGAGAGACTCTGGGGAGAAGAGGAAGAGGAGGAGGAGGAGGAGGATGGAGGCAGCACATGTAGTCTTTAGAGATAATGAAAACCATACAAGCAAACTTCGCAGGACATTCATATCTCTGCAGAGAAGAGCTGGACTGCAACATATTGGAGATGTGCTCAATTATGTCAACCCGGCGGTGGGGAGCTTGATTTATTTTGCCGGAAACTCTGGTTTAAGCCTGGATGATGCATGACAAAGATATGTTGTAGCTGAAATGTTTTAAGATAAATTCAAGAGCACAAGTGTGAGGAATAGTTGTCCAGCTTACCACCTACAGCAGTAACACTGCCACCATTTTATAAGAGTATCTTTTTAGATGTTTTTTCTACCTGGATTGACAATGCAATATAGCCTTAGCCAGTTAGCGTAATGCTACATAGCCTATGTAGCCATCAAGACTCGTTTAATGTAACTTGAAGTTAGGGTGAAGCTAAGTCCATTAAAGAAATCATAACATTATGGAGCAGATCCCATCACCAGGCAGACACAGGCATTATGTTTCAGTTATATGAACCTTACAAGATAAGACTTTTCGTTTTCATTTCATATCTTTGCTTTTAAATTAGTGTTTTTAAATGCCATTTTATAATGTGTTTCTTAATGTCTTTCATTTTTGTAAAGCACTTTGAATTGCCTTGTGTTGAAAGGGGCTGTATAAATAAACGTGCCTTGCCTTAAATACAATACAAACTATAATCTTAGACAGGTAAATGTGCCTCTGTTAACTAAATATGTGTTATACCGGAGCAAAAGCTTAACAGGTGATGAAAACATTATCTGGTTTTCATTCACCTTCTATCAAAATATAAGAATATAAATGTAGCTGTTAAACCCCGTGGTAAAAAACAGTAAAAGGCTGAATTCAATCAATTACTTGGAACTTAAGTTTATGTACTTATTAAGTATAATTTGGTACGGTAGTCTGTGTGGGGGAAACTTCTGAAGCAATTGGAGACAGGACTCAAAGCGACACGATGGAGAGCTGGAGCTTTGATGTCAAACACCAAGACAAGTCACGGGCCACGTGGTCTGACCACATGGATGAGATGCCACAATCAAATCTGAAGCACCTTTCTCTCGTAGGACTTTTTTAACTAGTTTGCTTTGAGGGTAATCAACATTCTTCACTAGATAGACTAAACAGCTGGGGACACTGAATCACATTTGTTGTCGCTTATGGCTCGGGGTCATCTACAGCCCGAGAAGGATGTGTTCCAGGTGTCCCACAACGATGACTATCTCTGACCGACAGTTGCCCGGTCACAAACTGGCAACAACAACAACTTGCTAGGGCAGCCCCTCCTTAAGGGAGTTAACGGCTGCTCAAGGTTGTTCCTCTGCGTCAGAGGGCAAACGGTAAACATCTATGGAAATGATTCCCTGACAGTCTGTAGTGTCCTAGCTGAGGGTCATCGGTTCTATTCCCTATCAGACAAAAGGTCCTGGTTGTGCATGTGTGTATTTTGGGCCTATATGTGTGATGTAACGTAAATAACACCAGATTGAATAATATGTCATGATCCTGACTTTTTACAGCTTGTGCAAAACAATGCATGAGTTAGAAAAGTTGACAACCAAAC